TGAATTCAGTTTATATACTTTTGTTTTAAAGATCTTAATCAATTAATCAGGATATAATTTTAACTAACACCTGTTAAAGCACTGAAAATGTACTGGATACTGATTGAATGGGGTATCCAAGATAAAATTTGTTATATTATAATTATTATTAATTATTACAAATTATAACTAATTTATTAAAATTTTGTTAAATAAATCATAAACAATTAACATAGATAAATTATTTTATTATTAAATTTTATTATGATTTAAGTGTTTATATTTTATTAGTCTTATAAACAATACAAAGAGTATAATATAATACTAGTACATGTATTAGATAAACCTGTAAAGTATAATGTTATAAATATATGTTAGTATATATATATGTTATATATATATACTAACATATATGTTAGTGTTTTAATACACGTGAATCATTGTTACAAGAAGTAGCGCTGCGCCCCGAAATGCCTGCTAAAATGAATAGTAAAATAACAATGTGTGGTATATCTGGCAATTAGAAAAAGGTCACTAAAATCGAGAAAATTACTATGATTGGTAGAAAAGGTGAATCAAATCGTCACCAGTTAAGCAACACGGACATCGATATGACACTTATCAAGGATAATAAAGATGAAATATCTGACGTGAGTGACTTGACAATGGTTGGCGTAGATTATACTAAATCTGATGTCCACTCCACTTCCGCTGCCAATCAATGTCAACAAGCAACTATTGTCGAGACCGAGCCCTACGATGATTATTGTGATATGAAATAGAGTATATATAAATTTATCATAATCTATTAAATAGTAATGTTTAGAGATTACTTAATAAATTGAAAATTAATTTCGATTTATATAAAATGCTGAATTGAAATGTGTAAGCTTTATTTCAATAAATGAGCGCATGCTAAATTATATAAAATAAACAAGATTCATGTTCACGAGTCAATTAATTAATTTTATTTAACTTATTAATGTTCAAACAATACGTTAGAAATGATTCTACTCTATAACTTATATGGTAAGTAAATGGACATTGTACCCTGTATACGGGTTTATTTGAAGCTATTTTACCGCATATTAAAATTATCATAATTATTTGATTATTAGATAGCAACAATTTAATAGTCCCCAATTATTATTTATTATTAACACTATTATTTGTTTAGGCGGCGTGCACAAAGTACATACGCACTGGTAAGGGGAGGGGGGTCATGCCAAAGCGTATGTTACCATGTTAAATTTCTATGTACGATGGGCGTGTAGGGGGGGAGGGGGGTCAATTTTTGATCAAAATTTCGCGTACGTACTTTGTGCATGCCGCCCTATTGATAACTATAAAAATTACTAATATTCTAGCGGTAAAAGTTTTATTCATTGTGTAATAAAATTTATAATTATAAAATTATTTAGTTATATATAGCTGTCAATTGTTTAGATTTAATTTGAATTTCAATTAAAAACTATAAAAATTACTAATATTCTAGCGGTAAAAGTTTTATTCATTGTGTAATAAAATTTATAATTATAAAATTATTTAGTTATATATAGCTGTCAATTGTTTAGATTTAATTTGAATTTCAATTAAAATCTTAATCATATTTTATAAACTCTACATGTCGGTGATAATAGTAAAAAACAATAGTAATTGTGTTTATTATGTCAGACTATCCCTAAAAAATCACTAAATACCAGTTGAATTGGTCGTGATGAATCAAAACAAAAAATAAAAAACATTTAAATAATTATTTAATTATTGTCGCCATAAATGTATTAAATTTGACTTCAGTTTGAGATAATACTAAGTTAGTTGTACAGTAAATCTAAATGTACTAAATGATATAATCAATGTATATTACTTTTATGATCCAATATATAATTATACCTTATACAATTGAAAAAACTATATGAGCTGGGGACAATCATAGTAACGTTAGCTTTTTTATATTTATTATATCTAATTATTAATTTTGTCCAAAAGTCAATTATTCATAAAATATACATAGGTTTAAGTTAACGAGTAGTACTATGACTTATCAGGTTAAAATATTACTGGATTTTAAAGTATTAATAAAAATATCTAACGTTACTATGATTGTCCCCAGCTCATATAATATATTTAATTCTTCACTGTAATCATTATATTGTATATAAATAGTTAATGAATCATCTATTATTGATAAATACATACCTGTATATGAATCATATATAATACTATGGTTGTGACTAATATTTCTATAAATTAAATCTATATTTGCTTACTAATTAAACTGACCAGACGTGCAGTTTTGCACTGGATTGTACATTTGTGACATTTAGTATCCAGGTTTGTCATAAGAAATTTATTATTGAAATGATAGTATTGTCCAGTTTTAAGATTAGGATTAATTCTAAGTTTGACAGCTTTTTCAGATTTTATAACAAATTATTGAAAACCCCTTTAGATATGCTTATGCTTAATATATGATAGGACCAAATGCTAAATTTTAATTATATAGTAAATTAGCAAAATAATAATTAAATATACAAAAGTACATTAAATTCTATGAAATTCAAATCTAAAATATAACTATTATGAAACAATTTACACTTCAATATCTGATTGTATAACATATACCTTGCTGTCACTCACTCTGACTTTACACTCTGGTTTTATATAAATGATCATAAACATTTGAAAAACTAGAAAATTATGTTACTTTGTTATGTTACTATTTCTTAAGGCCTGTTGTTTAATATTCTATAATTATATGATAAATATTTGTCTAGATTGTTTTAAAAATAATTATAACATATTTTGTGCATTTAGAAAATCTTAATGAATTTCATATTAATTTTATAAATACAATAGACATGTCAATATAAATTACACAAATGCCCACATGTACTGAAAAACTAATATCTAATTAAGTGCACCAAGTCCACTTTCACCAAATATTTGCTCTTAACCAAGTCATTATACTTTACCAGTTGTCTACGTAATCAATATCTTAACGTATACTTTCCAAGGTCAATGTTTATCCATAAAAATTTTAAGTGCTTTTCTATTTTAAACTATTACTATATTTTAAATTGATAAACGGAACTAATGTTAACTTAATAATATAGATAATTAATTAATGTATCTTGATTATATTTCTAATTTAACAAAATAAAAAACATATAATTAATGTAGTGCAGCAAGTGCTTTTATATCCAAATGTTTCAATAATTAATAATATTGCTACTTTTTAAAACGTTTAACTACTAGCCATAAATTACAGTGATATATAATATAGCATGCTAAATTTAAAAAGTATATAAACAATTAAAACAATTAGAATTTTATCATTTAAAAAATCTTGTAAAACTAACAAGTTCAAACACACAGTTCAAACAATATGATCTATAAACTAATCTTGGTTTCCATAGTGGTATTGATAGGTGGCGCTAGTTGCGACAAGTATGATTACCCGATATCCGACTACCTAGCTGTCTGAGACTCGCGTAACTTTACCGGTAAAGTGGTGTTAGTAACAGGGTCAAGTTCGGGTATCGGTGCCGGGATCGCCAAATTATTTTCACTATTGGGCGCCAATGTGGTGGTCACCGGACGTAACTGCTCCCGGATCGAGAGTGTAGCTCAAGAAGTTGAACAATTATCACCTAATAAGCTCAAGGTATTTTATAAGTTATTATAATATTCACATGTGATATTGAATATTATGTAAAGATTTAATATAATTGTTTTACCAAAAATTATTTTAGAAATATAAACTTTTATTAAACCTTATGTGTAGCATGTCGATTTTTCAAGTAGATTGTAAAATATAATTTATTTATTATAACTTTAGATTTAGTAGTTAAAATTAAATTATAGATAATTTACGTGATACATTAAATAAATTAGATATTTAAAAAAATATAATTCAGCATTAAGTATATATTATTGATAAACATACTAGTATAAATTTTATCAATAAAATTATTTTTTATTACAGCCATTGAAAGTGAGGGCTGACCTCACGAACCAGTTCGATGTCCGGCGCCTATACGATACGACTGTTAATACATTTGGCAGACTAGATGTGTTGATAAATAACGCGGGTATTTATCCCAACGATAATATCACGTCACCGATGCTTATCAAGGGCTGGGATTTGGTCATGAATACTGATCTGAGACCTATGGTCGAGCTCATTCAATATGCCGTTCCTCACCTCCAAAAAACTAACGGCTCAATCATTGACGTGTCCAGCATTGTGGGCATTGCCCCGGTACTTATATATTACAACTTTACAAATACTAGTTTATAGCCATACAGTGAACTTAAATAGCATGTTTATATTAATTTAGTTTAATGTGGTTACAATTTAACATTACATGCATGTTACTTTATTTTTAACAAATTAGAATTCGTTTTAAAATTTAGCAAGTAATTTATTTAAATTAGCGAGGTTAATTATTTCCTGTTACAATTCATTATTAATTTCATACGCATAGGCGGCCGCCCATTTATCCTACAGTACCTCAAAGGCCGCGATCGTACAGCTCACTCGCATACTGGCGCTCGAGTTGGGACCACTGGGCATACGTGTCAATACGATCAAGTAAACCATTGTTGACAACATTGAAAATTCTTTTTACATTAACTATAATTATATTTTTTTGTGCAAATCATAGTCCCGGTGCTATTGGCGTACAACGGACTGTCGAGGGCTTTAAGGATGCCATCGATGTAATGGTCGCGCGAACGCCTATTCGTAAATTAGGCCACGCCTTGGATATCGCGAAGGGGGCGGTGTTTTTGGCCTCCAGTGACGCCCAGTTTATTACCGGCGCTAATCTCGTGATCGACGGCGGATTGGTGTACAATTATCCTAGCTCAATTTAAAAGTCAAAATTTTTACGAAAAATATTGTTGTTTAAACAACTGATTTATAAATGTATAATTTAAAATTATGAGTAAATAAGTTTTCAATGCACATTTCTAGTGTATAAGTATTTTTAGATAAGTTTCAAGGTCGTAAAATTTTCTTAAATTTATCAACGTAAAATAAATATATTATATATCAATTATTGGAATCTACTAATATTATATTTAAATTTATTTGAAAACCTGTTTTACCACCCTGTAACTTATATAAAATAACAAACTTATGGGCGGGTCGGCTCACAAAGTACGGCATACGCGAGCAACTGCTTCGTTACGACGACGATTCCGATGATAGTGATCCGGCTAAAAAGTATAGCGCCAAGTTCATATCGGATGGCGTTATTGGACCCGAGTCGACCCCGATCAAAAATTTGCTAAATATTACCCAGAACTCAATGCCGTACTTTGTGGACAGACTCGCAAATACCGATGTAATGGTGGGCGAGTTGTTGGTCACCCTGAAACCCGATGTGGTATTTGTGGATCAAATAATAGGGTTGCCATCTGTGGTTAAGTCGGGCATACTGTGGGTACTCGTATGTAGTTGTAATCCCCTGTATTTGTAACACGACACCCGGGCACCCCCGCTAAACTCAGGTAATTATTGTTTATTTTTAAATAATCTAATATAGTTAAGAGCTATATATTATATTTAAGCCTATACTATATATTAAATGTGTTAAATTATGAGAATTAATTAAAAAATTTTAAAATAATTAATTATTATACGTAAAATGTATTTTAATTACATAATTTAACCATGAAGAATTTTACATGCAAAATTGTGTTTATAGAATCTGGTTTATAATCATGCAAATATTACTGTAAAATTACACATGTACTATTTTTATAAACAAACTGTAATGCATGAAATAGGTTATATTTATACTACATTAATTGATATTATATTTTTATAAAAATGGAGACTGCAACGTATCCTTTTAATTTGCAATATATTTAGTTGTTTATAATTTTCAAATTATTATAATTGCTTTCAATTAATTAGGAAAGTTAATTTAAAAAATGTGAAATAAAATATGAAATAAAATTAGATTATCTATTTTTAAGCAACCTTCTTCCCAGTGAAAAAATTATTTAGCTACATGATTTAATTAATAATATTTTTACATTACTAAAATGTAATTAAATAAATAAGTTTTACTATTTAAATATTACAAACATTATTTACAAACAAACTGTAATAAATAAATTAAGCTTATATACGCTGCATTAATTAAATATATTTTAACATCGAAGTTTAATTGTGTTTAGTTTTTTAATAAAATTTATTTTTTTAATTGTGCTATTAAAATTTACCAAATTTTTTGAAATTATAATCTCTAAATTAACAGGGTTACCCGCGATTGGTCCTACACACGAATGGGAAACATTCAGAAATATATACACCGAGGCTAAACGACCTATACTCAATAAATACAACAAGTATTTAAAAGCAAACGGACTCGCACCATTAAAAAATGAATCACCATGGTTTACTGACCATTCCGACTACTTGAACATCTATGGCTACCCCACGAACTGGATTACCTGGACATGAGACCATTACCACAAAACTGGCACCGATTCGGTAACCTTAAGCGCACGGACTCACACCACACCACTTTTGACATACCGGTCCCATTGCGGGACAGACCGGGAAAACTCGTGTACTTCTCGTTGGGATCCATGGGTTCGGCGGACGTGAAGAATATGAAGAGATTAGTGGATATTATGTCGAAATCTAACCACCGGTTCGTTGTATCGAAAGGACCCCTACATGACGAGTACGACCTACCGGTGAACATGTGGGGCGCGGCTACTGTTCCCCAAATTAATTTCGATTTATATAAAATGCTGAATTGAAATGTGTAAGCTTTATTTCAATAAATGAGCGCATGCTAAATTATATAAAATAAACAAGATTCATGTTCACGAGTCAATTAATTAATTTTATTTAACTTATTAATGTTCAAACAATACGTTAGAAATGCTTCTACTCTATAACTTATATGGTAAGTAAATGGACATTGTACCCTGTATACAGGTTTAGTTGAAGCTTTTTTACCGCATATTAAAATTATCATAATTATTTGATTATTAGATAGCAACAATTTAATAGTCCCCAATTATAAACACTATTATTTGTTTATTGATAGCTATAAAAATTACTAATATTCTAGCGGTAAAAGTTTTATTCATTGTGTAATAAAATTTATAATTATAAAATTATTTAGTTATATATAGCTGTCAATTGTTTAGATTTAATTTGAATTTCAATTAAAAATTGCACTGGATTGTACATTTGTGACATTTAGTATCCAGGTTTGTCATAAGAAATTTATTATTGAAATGATAGTATTGTCCAGTTTTAAGATTAGGATTAATTCTAAGTTTGACAGCTTTTTCAGATTCTACAACAAATTATTGAAAACCAATTTAGATATGCTTATTAATTCATGATAGGACCAAATGCTAAATTTTAATTATATATTAATTGAGCAAAATAATAATTAAATATACAAAAGTACATTAAATTCTATGAAATTCAAATCTATAAAATAAAACTATTATGACACAATTTACACTTCAATATCTCATTGTATAACATATAAATCACTGGCACTCACTCTGACTTTATACTCTGGGTTTATATAAGTGATCATGAACATTAGAAACACTAGAAAATTATGTTACTTTGTTATGTTACTATTTCTTAAGGACCTATTGTTTAAAATTTTATAATTACATGATAAATACTTGTCAAGATTGTTTTTTAAACATATTTTGCGGATTTAGAAAATCTTAATGAATTTCATAATAATTTTATAAATACAATAGACATGTCAATATAAATTACACAAATGCACACATGTATTGAAAATAATATTTAATTAAGTGCACCAAGTCCACTTTCACCAAATATTTGCTCTTAACCATATCATTATACTTTACCACTTGTCTACGTAATCAATATCTTAACGTATACTTGCCAAGGTCAATGTTTATCCATAAAAATTTTAAGTACATTTTCTATTACAATATTTTAAATTGATTAATGGAACTAAAGTTAACTTAATAATATAAATAATTAATTATTGTATCTTGATAAAATTTTTAATTAACTAAAATAAAAAGCATATAATTTATGTAGTGCACCAAGTGCTTTTATATACACCTGTTACTTAATTAATAACATTGCTACCTTTAAAACGTTTAACTATTAGCCATAAATTACAGTGATATATAATATAGCATCCCAAATTTAAAAAGTATATAAAGAATTAAAACAATTAGAATTTTATCATTTAAAAAAATCTTGTAAAACTAACAAGTTAAAACAAACAGTTCAAACAATATGATCTATCAACTAATCTTGGTTTCAATAGTGGTATTGATAGGTGACGCTAGTTGCGACAAGTATGATTACCCGATATCCGACTACCTAGCTGTCCGAGACTCGCGTAACTTTACCGGTAAAGTGGTGTTGGTAACAGGGTCAAGTGCGGGTATCGGTGCCGGTATTGCCAAATTATTTTCACTATTGGGCGCCAATGTGGTGGTCACCGGACGTAACTGCTCCCGGATCGAGAGTGTAGCTCAAGAGGTTGAGCAATTATCACCTAATAAGCTCAAGGTATTTTATATTATATTTAGTATTACATTGGTGCAAAAGTTCTCGCCTGTTATAACATTGTGTTCTATGACAATTTAGGCGAGAACTTTTGCACCAATGTAATATTATAGTATTATGTAAAGATTTAATATAATTGTTTTAGCAAAAATTATTTTAAGAATATAAACTTTTATTGAACTTTATGTATAGCATGTCGATTTTTCAAGTAGATTGTAAAATATAATTTATTTATTATAACTTTAGATTTAGTAGTTAGAATTAAATTATAGATAATTTACATGATAAGTTAAATAAATTAAATGATTTAAGAATAAAAAGATAATTTGCATTAAGTATATATTACAGATAAACATATTAGTATAAAAATCAATAAAATTATTTTTTTTATTACAGCCATTGAAAGTGAGGGCTGACCTCACGAACCAGTTTGATGTCCGGCGCCTATACGACACGACTGTTAATACATTTGGCAGACTAGATGTGTTGATAAATAACGCGGGCATTTATCCCATCGATAATATCACGTCACCGATGCTTATCAAGGGCTGGGATTTGGTCATGAATACTGATCTGAGAC